GCAGCAGCAGCAGCAGCAGCAAGCCTTCAATTCGGCCCATCCGTCTTCCTCGAGCAGTAGTCATCGAAAAAGTTACGAGGCAATGATCGCGGACATCAACAAAGTCGCCGAGTACTCGTCCAAGATCGGCTCATTTTCGCATGAGGCTAAGGTGAATAAATGGCTGGCGGAGCAAAGCGCGATGTCGGAGCAATTGAGTGCAGAATATTTGAATGCTCCCCGACGTCGCAGACCGCGCGTCGATCCGTCCTTGTTGGATTGGAAGAAGCTCACCGGTGAAGAGAATGTCGCTGTTATCAACCGATTAACTGGTAAAAAGGTACGTTAATTCAGAATATATTCAAATTATAGACTCTTATTGTATCTTATATGTAGATTCTAAAATTGTTCTTCAAAATTGTCTTTTTTTCACGTATGGATAAACTAGATTAATTTAATTTTATTAGCACAAATATACTAGGTATTTGAAATTTAAATAATGTAATAAGTTTTGTTCATAAAAGCTAATTATATTGTTTATAATATTTTTATAATAATTTCTACTGTCACTTTTAAGTCAATAATTTTTTAAATCAAGCATAAGAATTCATGGAGTTATTTGTTTCCTGTTATTTTTACGGAGTATAAATTTCATTGAGTTATTTGCGAACTAAATTTGGTTATTCAAATCAAATTTTGATTCTTTAGGTAACCGGAAGCAAAGCACCTCAATTGAAACGACTTGGAACATGGCTAATGGAAAATCCAATGTTCGACGTTGATCCGAAATGGGCGGAACTTGTGAAGGAACGCGGCAATCTTCCGCACGACCTACAGAAGAGACTATCAGGTAATGAGCGCAGCAGCGTGAACAAGGGCAAGAGCCCGGGCAGACCACCTATGATGCCTAGTCCTACTAGCCAGCAGTCGGCGAGTACTGCCAATCTGGCGGCCACGTCGATGGCGTCCAGCCTCAACTTCCCGCTCGGCAATCTAAATAGCTCTTTGCTGTCGAGCCTGTCGCTTGGCAATTTCGATCCGAAGAATCCGCTCTTGATGCCATTCGGCGGTCTGACGAACCTGGGCGCGCTCGGCGGCCTCGGTAATATCAGCAACTTGAGTAACATAGGTCTAACGAATTCACTGTTCAATCTGGCCGGGCTGAATCTGCCGTCATTGGCGGGCATGGAGGCAGCGTTGAATGCGCAAGCAGCAACTAGTAGCGCGGCGGCAGTGGCAGCAGCGGCAGCCGCGGCGGACGCGAATAATCCGGTTGTGAGTTCGGCGAATAGCAGTAGCAGTAAGAATGCCGGCGCGGGTTCTTCGTCGAGCATTAGCGGCAGCGGTGGAAGTGGTAGTGGTGGCGGTAGTAGTAAGTCACGTAGCAGCAAATTAGATCAGCCATCGACCAGCAGTAAATCCTCGGCTAGTGGTGGTCCGTCAACTTTGTCTGCTGTTTCATCTGCGAGTCTGCCGACTCCCTCGCCGTTCCCGTTTCTCTTCACGAATCCCAGTCTCCTCTACACACCGCTAACATTAAGCGGCCTGAATCCGTTCTCTATGCAATCTGGCGGCGTGTCATCGGCCTATGAAAGCCTTGCCCAATGTGGTCTGTTGAATCCACCGACATCTAGCGCTTCAATGGTGCGCAAGCCTACGTCATCTAGCAGCTCCTCTAGACAACGTGAGACCGTACCGGAATCCTCAACATCTTCATCATCGTCGTCGTCATCGACAACGAAGCGAAAGGAGCCTGAGAAGAAATCTAGATATCCAGTGGATCCAGCCGTAACTCTGCAACAATACACGGATATGGCGGCATTGCACAGTGGCGAGGAGAGACGCCGCGTCGAGCAGCAGCAACAACAATCACAGCAGCAACACGAGAAGCGAGAAACAGCAATAACGGAACAGGCCGATGTGGTAGCGGCGGATCTATCGGAAAAAAAGATCGAGCGGAAAAACAAAGAGCAAGATGTAAAAGAGACTCTGGAGCATCTGAATAGAACCAGCGCCGAACTGGTCACGCGGAATATTGATGACGCTCCTAGAACCGAGAAACCGCCCAGCAGAAATCGTAGCAGCACGGATAGCAATCAGAATTCTGATCAACAGCAACAACAACGATCGACGCCGTCGGCACCACCGCCGCTTGAAGTCACTCTTGAACCTGTTGCGAAGAAGATGCGCACCGAAATGGACACAAGTACAAAATCGTCCGCATTGAATAGCGAAGTACCGACGGTGGAAATTGAACCGGTGACAAGACCGTCACCGACGACTCCTATGAAAGTGGTGCAGCAGCATGCATCTTCACAAGAGGAGATATCCAATGTTCCGCCCGTGGAACCGAGCACGGCCAAAAAGGAAACTAATGAGACGACGACGTCATCGACATCCTCGTCGACGTCTGCGAATGCAACATCGCCATCGACGCAGACTACTGGCACGAAGAGTGACGGCGGGAAACCCGCCGCTCCAGAAACGGAGGAAGATGGCAAAGGCGGCACTAAGGCGCCAAAGAAGGCCCGTAGCGGTAAACGACTGAGCGTGGAACCACCACCAGAGCGTAAGAATCTTCGTTCGAGTGCCGGTAGACAGGCACGGGCGGCTGCGGAAAGGCAGGCGCGAATGGAGGGCGAGATGCAGCAATCTGAACAGCAGCAGCAGCAAGATAGCCACGTAGCCGGCGAGTGAGTCACGGCGAGGTCCCGTCGGACTGCTGCCGCAAAACGATGAAAGACAACTACTGAAAACGCCCTATGGCGAACTGACGAAAGAAATTTGGTGGACAATCCGGCAATCTACCGTTTCTTTTTCAACTCTCTGATTCGACATTGCTCGCACAACGAAGATCTGTACGTAGATGATTCCCTGTTCGACACTGACAAGTGCGAAAGTGTAAGGTGTTTCTAATCGCAATGAAACGCGAGTGTATCGAAAGGGGGCTACAGACATTGGTAGAATCTACCGTAGCCTTCGGTTCCGTTCTTTGTTGATAAAAAATGTGTGAATAAATGGGACTCCCTCAATTTTGCGGGAGATGGGATCGTGTATCGTTAGGCGGACCGTGTGTGACAGTGCGTTTATTGAATTGAAACAAAAAGAGAGAAATCTCTCCAATACGAAGGCTGCGATAGTATTTTATCACTCGATACTTTGTGTAGTAATTAATTTTTAATTGCGTAATCATGATACAATAATAAAAGTATAGTTTTGTTAAATTTATTATCTACTATCTCTTATTGGTTTTGACCAGGGACTGTTTTATATAAAAATATATATATACATATATAGATATATATTATAAAATTGTGTATTCGCTATTGCGCATAAAGCAATTTACAAGCAAGGAATGCAAGACGAAATATAATCGTAATGTAGAGAAAAATAATTACAGTAATAACTTAATAAAAAAAAGGAAAAATGTAAATATATATACAATTACGCCTATAGAGACAGTAAGCAATCGTGTACTTGAAAAAGAAAATGTATATAACGCAGTGTACTTTTAATTACATTAGGTGAAACAATAAACAGCTTCTTTCGTTGTTTGCAAATACCAAGGAATTCGAATCTCTTATTTTATATTTACATGAAAAAAAAATTATTAAATTAGGCTTAAATTATCTATTAAATAATTTTAGGATAGAGGAAATTATTTAAATAAAGACATGGAATAGATGTCTTTATTTAAATAGTTAAAAATGATAAAGAAAAACGTTGAATGATTGATTTTATAAAATAATATATATTTTATGCAAACAAAATCGTTATGTGATTTGTGCAGCTTGAATTTTATTAGAATCTTTTTCTGTACATCGAATTTTTTTTATGCATCTAGAGGTTGTGGCACAATACGCATATACGTTTTGCCGGAAGGTAACATCACAGTTTTGATATTGTTATAGGAAGATTTGGCTTCACTGTCTGATACGCTCGGATCAATCATTACGTCGTCTCCTTTCTAAAATGTCGTATAAAATATATGTAAAAATTAACGTGTTAAATCATCAATATGTTTTGCTTGATATTTAATTATAAACAGCGGAAAAATTATCACTTGAAAATCTAAATGAAATTTTATTTTCTCAAACCTGAACCTACCTTCCAATCTACAGGAGTCGCTACTTTGTACTTTTGTGTAAGCTGAAGGGATTCAATTACCCTTATTATTTCGCTGCAATGCAAAGTACAAAATTTTAGTGATCTTATATTTACAAGCAATAAATAATGATATTTAACGAAATGTGAAACGTTTCTCACTCGAAATTACGACCGGTAGTGGCTGGGTATAAAATTGACAATCGCATCTTTTTGACTGGGTCAATTATAAACACAGCTCGTGCCGACATGGGTAATCCAGTCTGACTATCGACCTCGGCGGGATCCAACATTCCCAATAATGTGGCAAGCTTTCTGGCTTGATCTTCTATTATTGGATATGGAAATTCTTCGCCTATTACCTCACCGTAACTCTTTATATCCTGGAATAACGTTTTGTTTAATAATACCGATATGAATATATGAGAGAAACTTATTAAATCTGATATTAAATTTTATCAAAGTGAAATTATTGGTGTTTTCCAGCAAGAGACATAATGTAACACAGTGATCATTACTTCATCTTTCACATTAGCAAACAACAGGGATGTAATGATTCAATGTCTTACACTGTATCATCTATTTCTGGGTAGGAAACATCCTAGATCAAATGCATTTATCTAAAAAAAACTTATGTTGACTACACTGAATTAGCTTTAAAAGCTGCTTTTTATCAAGCATTTAAATGCAGTATCATAGTATAATCAACTTTGATAATGAAATACATATACTATTAAATAACATGACAATATCATTTAATTATTTAAGATATTTGTATATTCTCTTACATTTAACATTACTTTATCAATTTCACATCTAGCAGCTTTTAGTATGTACTAATCTAGTATAATGCAAGTGACTGAATTCGCTGCAAGCAAACCTCTATCCATTTACGATGGGAGTCGACTGAATTACAGGATAATGCCATCACTTTCACACCTAATCTCTTGAATTCAGGCATTAGTTTTACAACTCGTGCCAACTCGGTTGTGCAGACTGGTGTGAAGTCATTTGGATGTGAAAATAAGATACCCCACCTGTGTATTTCAAACAAATATTTTATACAAACTGAATTATGAATAAACTGAACTAAGAATCGTGCAATTTAATAATTATGCATACATCATAAATTTATTGTAAACAAATATAAAATATCATATATATGTGTGTGTACATTTTAAACACCATTCGCATTATATACATAAATATACTTCACGTCATGTGATAAAGCACAACAAATAAACAAAGTAGTAATATCTCAAGTACTTTTATTTATAACATTTCGACCGTATCTATGAATATTTCGGTACGTAGCGTATATCGCCAATAATTAAGCTTTTTTTCTACACTATTCTACAGGATCACATACATGACGACGAAGTGTCTGCCTAGGTTACAAATATTACAGAATGTCTTACGAATCGCCTAGCCATTCGTGAAATCTGATCGTGCCCATCTGGGTGTCCGCTGTGAAGTCTGGAAACACCTCGCCTAGTAAGACCATAGTGTAGTGGAATGTACAATTTCACAATAAACAATTAAAAGTATGTCACTGATGCTTTGTTAAGAAGCACGCGTTCATCGACTCTCAACTATCGTCAACTATATCCGTCTTCGTCTGTATCGAACTATAATAAATCAGGAAACAGGGAGGGGGAGGGCTTTCAGTGGCGTATTTAGGTTCGCGAAATAAATGGCATCCATTGTTGGGCGTATTCAGAGATTCCTACTCGAGTAGGTATTCCTCAGGTATTATTACTATTATTTTATTTTTGTTTAATGAATGTTCGGTAAACAATAAGAATAAAATGATATCTAAATGGCACTCGGATGGGAAAAATATCCATAGAAAAAGAATAACATCCGAAACTTCGATCAAACTTTGATTAAATTAGCTTAATTAGCGATTATTTTAATTTATCAGACAATACTTGTGTCGTTTTGTTCATCCAGGCAGAATAATTAATTTTTCGTTTAATAGAAAGAAGAATTAGATCAGCGATAACAAATTACATAATTAAAAATTTTTCAACATACAATCCTGCCTAAATTAATCGCCTATTAATTTAATCGCTTTAAGGGCGGTATTTATAGTCAGATCTTATATTCAAGACCGTCTTAAGTACAGTCTTAAGAAGTCACGAACCAATTAGAGGACCGTATTAGCGTTTTAAGTCATTACTATTAAGGCCGGTATTCATAGTCGGTTCTTATTTTAAGACCGTCTTAAGTAATGTCTTAAGTCGCTAATGCGGCCTTCTGATTGGTTCATGACATCTTAAGACTGTACTTAAGACGGTCTTAAATATAAGATCCGACTATGAATACCGGCCTAAGACAATCTTGAAATAAAAACGGACTACGAATATTGTCCTAAGTCGCCATAATACGTCCATCTCTCTCTATCAATGTAGATTAAATTTAATCTCGGTTTAATTTACTCTTTATCTTTTTGTCATTTTTATGAATGAAGAAAGATAAAAAATAAGTTAAACCAAGATAGTTAATCTACATTAGTAGAAAGGAGCATAAAATGTGATTATGGCGCCTCAAAATGCACCCCTGCCTTCCGATTCTAGATACGAGCTTATCGGAACGGTCCATGTGTGGGTGAAAGTTGCGCAGATTCACGCCATCACGCATGCGCGAAATTTTTCTCGCCAGAAAAGTGTGATAAGGAGCTAGAGGAGCAAGTGATGCCGGCAAATGGCGGTTGTTATAGCGACCAGTAATATGCAGTAATATCAAAGAATTGAATTTGCATGCAAATTGCGCATTACAGACAATACAGGCTTTTTTGACTCAACCTATCGCATCTGACGCTTACGCAATATATCTGTACATACATGAGAATGAAAAGTGAAATATGCATATATTCATATTTACAACATCAAACATATGTGTATGCATGTGTATTTATAATCACATATTTCATTCTAACTGGATTGATGATTTATATACATCATTAAATAGATTGATACAATAGTAGATTTCAATGTCAAGCATATAAGAATCTGTGATAAGTATTGTATGCGTGTGTGTGTGTCTACACCTTCCTGTGATCTCTGAGGCCAAATATGAGTCTTCTTCATATCAGTAAAGAAGGCTGGATTATCTCTCACTTGGAGTATCTCAATGAGATATACAAGAAAGTCCAAAACGAAGATGGATTTTGCGCTTTAGGCTTCAACAAAATGATATTCGAGATCAATTCTCAATATTTGAGGCCAAATCAAATAGTTCAGACCGTCCAGGAGTCCCAGAATAGTGCTATAATACACAATAGAAAAAAGAGGAAGCGCTCACAGCAATTGCCGGAAAAAGACTTGGAGGAAGTAGGTTCAGAAATTTAATATTTAATTCATATTTTAAAATATAACTTAAAATACTAATGAATAAGAATTACATTTTATTTACTATAGTATTTCAAAATTATTCTCATACAACAGGTCGATCGTGTTAAACAAGCGTTTATTGCAATGATGTCTGCTGCAAGAGACAAAGGACTTTTTTGTCAGAATAACTTTCTTGATAACAATGAAGTAGCACGTTTGGCATCCATGAAATTTTATCAGGATACTTACTCTCTCAAAAATGAGAACCTCTATGGATCCAATGATACTGATGACGCTATTGTATCTGTGGCTCATAATAAAAAATATGTATTCCCCAAAAAATGTACATTTTATTGTTATGATGTAAGAGATATAGAAAAAAAAATGGAACTGAGCAACCAATATGATTTCATATTGCTAGATCCACCCTGGTGGAACAAGTCAATTAGAAGGAAAAAGATGAAATATGCAGAAGCCTGGTAATCTAACATGATTCTTTACATAAATTAACGAAATCTTAATATGTTTAGAGAGAAGATAATAAATTCATAAATTTAACATGCTCTAAATTTAAATAAAAATAGTTTTGTGTCTCCAAAAAAATGAATCAAATGTATATAAATAAATTGTCTTATTCCAACATATTCCTATTGAGATATTTAGGGAGACATGATTGTATATCTTTACAGTTACAAAATGATGTACAATGAGGAATTGGTCAAGATACCAATAAGAAAACTATTACATTCAAATGGTATTGTAGCTGTATGGTGCACTAATTCATCCAACCATTTAAATAGTATTTTTAACGAAATGTTTCCGACTTGGGGTATTACTTATAGAGCTAAGTGGTATTGGCTCAAGGTAAGTAATATCTCAATAAAGTCGAAAATCAATGTGATAAGTATTGAATAATAAATGCTACTATAGGTGACACAAGCAGGTGACACAATATGTAATTTTAACTCAGCACCTGGAAAGCAACCTTATGAATTACTGATATTAGGGTCTGCACTGGAAAAAGATCACAAAGTAAATATCCCTGATAGCAGATTGATGATCAGTGTACCTAGTGCGGTACATTCACACAAACCACCACTCACAGGTGCAAATATAAAATTTAAATGTGAGATACATATTCCACAAAATATTTGATATATTACGATAAAATTTATTTATTTGTTTACTTCCTTAGAAATCATAAAGGAATATCTGCCGGATGAGCCAAAATGTCTAGAAATTTTTGCAAGATACTTATTGCCTGGATGGACAAGTTGGGGTCTAGAAATTTTGAAGTTTCAACATTTGTCGCTCTATGAAATTCTGAATGAATGTAAGAAAGATGAAAGTAATGTCGATAATGTAAGAAGCGAAAACGAGAATAAAGAAGAATCATAAAATGTAAGATAAATCTATAGATATTATAAATACGTAAATTATGAGACAACACGTATCGATCCTTTATTATAAATTATTTGCAAAATTTTCTCGATACAATTTGTTATTACGATGTATTATTCAAGTGTTCAGTAGTTCCGTTTTTTAATGAAGTTCGATAACCATGTGGATTCATCGTTTGCCACGTCCAGAAGTCCTGACCTGTATTCAACATTTTATCGTTAGACATGATTATTTAAGATTATTCAGACTCGCGTTCAAGCTGAAATATATTAATATTACTTACACATTTGCTCAACGTTGTACTTTGCTGTCCAATCTAATTCTTTTTTTGCCAAATCTGTATTAGCGTACATGGATACGATGTCGCCCTCTCTTCTCTCCTTTATAACATATGGCACGGTAGTACCAGTGACTTTCTCAAACGTTTTTATTAATTCCAACACAGTCACGCCATTGCCAGTGCCTAAGTTGTAAATCTTTAGCCTAAGGTGCTGTTTGTGCAAAGCATTTAATGCCGCCACGTGACCGGCTGCCAAATCCATAACATGAATGTAATCACGGACACCTGGAAAAGTATAAATCGTGAGTATAGATTGATCTAAATAAAGCGTTCGATGAACTTTTCGTTTGATATTAACATTATTATCTCTATTACCTGTACCATCGTTTGTAGGATAATCACCACCGAATATGACCAACTCCGGCTTGTGCCTCAAAGCGACTTGAGCGATATACGGCATCAGATTTGTAAACGGCTTTGTCGGATCTTCCCCGATCAATCCTGATCGGTGAGCACCAACCGGATTGAAATATCTTAAAGATATAATATTCCAACTCTGTTAAATGAAAGAAATCTTTAATAAAAATTGAAATAGCATTAACTAGAATGTTAATAACATGATTACTTCTCCTAAAAGAGAAAACTAAAAATTTATTCTTATAATCTAAAATAAATTTATATATGAGTAAAAACGAGTACATTATTTTTACATAAGATTTCAATCGTTAATCTTATGAAATTGAAATAATTTCATATAAATTCGAGATTTTTTCTATATCTTCGAACCTTTTCAGCTCTGGATATATCCTTGAGCATCTCTTCAATAAAATACTTTGTTCGGCCGTAGACATTGGTAATATTACCGGTTTCATGTTCTTCCGTGATGGGTAACTCTGTAGGCTCGCCATAAACCGTACAAGAACTACTGAATACAAGCTGAAAGCAGCCGGCCGCTTTCATCACCTGTAAAAGAAAAAGGAATGACGCGTCGAATTGTAGAAGTGATTCGAGGAACGGGTAATATAATCTTCTTACCTCAAGCAGATTAATAGCCCCTATCATATTATTTCGATAATAGTGAAGAGGAACTTGCATCGACTCTCCGACAGCTTTAATAGCCGCGAAATGTATCACGCAATCTATTTTGTGCTGAAAGTGACAAATTATTCTTCATGTGCCCAGAAAAATAAACGGCTCTCTTAACTCTTTTCAATTTTACGTCATATAATTACAACAGAGTAGTTATCATAAATGGAATATGTACAATATGGAATATAATTAGTGAACGTAATACCTGGTTAAAGACGGTCTCGAGCTTCTCTCTGTCGAGTAAATCGCAGTTATAAAACGTAACTTTCTTCCCTGTTATTTGCTCAACTCTTTTCAGCGCCGCGGACTCGCCGTCGGTTTCTGTTACGCTGTTTGCGAAGTTGTCTATAGCCACCACGTCGTAGCCGCACTCTAGGAGCTCGACGATACAATGACTGCCAATGTAACCAGCGCCTCCGGTTACGAAAATGGTTCTCCAGGTTCCCGTCATCTTCCCGACTAGGAATTCAATTTTTAATTTACATTCATCGAGACTCCTTCAAACATTATACGAAAAAATATTGATATTTTTAATTAAAATATTATCATTTGTAAAATATAACGAATTTAATTTAAAGATTTGTGTTGTAAAAAAAAACAATGCATCTCTTTTATCTAAGAACCGAAATTTTGTTCTTGCAATAGGAAAATCTTTTTATTATAAGAACATTTATACAACCAATTGTTAAGTCACAATATCTATGCTTGCTTACTCGTTTATTAGTCCGAATCTATCGAGACAAACTCAATTTAAACTCTAGGTGCATGCGGATCAGATTTTTATTCATACAGACGTACGTTTGCAAGCTAAAGTGTGCAGGTGCTTAGGACATTCACCTTCGTTCAAGTGAGCAAACAGAGTTCAAGGTTGCCAAAACACGTGGTAAATCACTGCAGCGGGAACGCGGTATATTCGACGAAGTGGAAAAGAAGGAACGCACGTATAAAGTAAGTATAAAAAAATATTTATATAAAATTAATGCAACAATAAAATTAATATAAATTAATTTAAAATTAAAATTTAATTTAGAAATTGAGAACTTTTAAATATTTAAACTTTAAACATTTCAAATAATTACATATCTAAAATCGAAACATGATTATATATAAAATGTATATAATCACGAGCGTATAAATTCGTTTTCGAATACATTCGTGATGCGTATATGTTCAAGAATTTTTCCAATTCATTAAGCTCGAAGCCTAACTCGCGTGAAGTCATACTTAACGGTATTCGAAATCGCACTGTTGCTCGACACTCATTCGGTCTATAGAAAAGGTATTTCTAATACATATTCCCAAACAGATATTTGTGTAAAGTGTTTTTTTTATAGATTATAAGGCCTATTATTTAAATAAATTTATAGGTAATTTTTCAAGAGAAATTGATTGTAAATAAGCCAAGATATTTTAATTTACTCATGCCTCATTAATCACCGATTGAACGTGTACTTGCAACGCGAGTTGAATACTTAAAAATCTTTCTACGAACCTTGGCCTTTCAGAGAAATTAATCGGCGTCCTTGAGAGCCGATTTTTCTCATCAGATTACGAGAGATTGTTCTCGCTCGAAGAGATTTCCTGTCATTCTAGTTTAGAATTAGAATTAAGCTGACTTAGCTGACGCATTGTCTTGGGATTCTTTATCATCCCAAAGAATTTTTAATTGCGATATATATAATTCGCTTTTGTTACAAGACTTAATATCGTACAAAGAAATGAAGAGATCGTTACCTTAGATTAAGACTAAGTGCTAGATAATTCAATGAAGGACGCAATCAATTTCGATCCGAAGGACTGCGAGGCACTTTCGCGCGATGACCGACACTAACTGCGACTCTGCCTTGAATAGTAACTGCAGAAGAGCGAAGGTAGTATATCGTGGGACGCGCGAGACATCCCCTCCTTCACGATGCTATATCGGCACGCACACTATGCCCTTCTTGCAAGCCACGTCTTGTTCTACTCCAGCCGCCCGTTCTACGATCCTCATCTAAAGAATTCCTCCTCCTCCTCCTTTCACTTCTCATGTCGCACTCTTGCTACCACGATCGAGATCGCGAGAAGCGAGACAAACTCGCTACTGTCTTTCGTCGACTGCATTCAGACCGTTTACAACACAATTATTACTGAATTAATAAAAGCACGTTGCTCATCTTTGGCGCCTCGATTGAGAAACAGTTTAGCCGTTAGCTGTAGGAACCTGTTTCGAGGCGACTAATAACATAATCGCGCGAAATGAGAGAAAAACAACTGACTGAAAGGCATCCCTTACTCGTCCCTCAAGGAATGTGTCCTGATTTTCGATTTCGGTGGATCATGCGACAGGACATAAAATCGCGAAAAATCCTTGGTAAATGATAATCAGGAGAAAAATATGCGCATAATTCGTAGCATTATTGTATATTTACTGTGTTGATACTACTTGTATCAATTTATGCAACAGTTCCTTTTGTTCTGTATCAAAGTAAGGATATAATTCGCTCTCGAGTTCCAAGACTGCTTGATGATCATGAGACTGGCATGCTAATACCAAGGATTGTAGCAATAATAATTCATCCTCGCTCATATTAAGACCTGTAAAAAGCAATTGATCTAATAACTTTGAATGATTACGGAAAAACCAAAATATTTCTGTACAATTGGAAGCCTGATATGTACCGTTGTTCACATTTTCTTCTGCCCAAGCGTACTTTTCGAGAACCTGGGCAAGCGATGGTGTCAATCTCTGGGGTGACGGCTGAAGAATGAGCAGTAAAAGTACTCGCGTCACTTCGCACCTAGTTATTAATTTTATTATATGTAATTTTAATTATTAAGTGTAATATAATATTGTAATTTAATACACAGTAACAAATTTTACGAATGATTATAATTATGAAACTAATCACAGAATAAAGCAACGCTTTTTTTAGAATTTTCTATTTATAAATTGACAACTGATTGTCTTTGTTTCATTCGCTCATCTCTGCAGATTTTTTTAGAATATTAATTTTTTGCATTGCTGATATACAATTGATTTTTTTTAATAAATTAGGATTTGCTTTAAACACTACATAAAAAATGAATACACAATTTATTATTACAATATCTTCATAATAAGATAGTACCTATGTAGGATAGCATTATAGTTTCCTCTGGCACCAGCCACAACACAAGCTTCTACAAATTCTACAAATTCATTGAGTATCTGTAGCGCAGCTACAAAATCTCCTGTGAGAATAAAATTACATGAAACACTATCTGTATTAAATAATCGTAAAATATTAATTATTCATGAGATTATTCATGAGATTACAGATAAAAACGGATCAAATACTGACCCTGTCTTATATGAAAAGACACTAAAGTATTGATAGCTTTTGACGTAGGAAAGATATCAATTGCTTTGCGCAACTGTTGGATACCAGCAGGACCTGGACCCAACGCTAATGCTAATTCTACTGATAAACCAGCAGAAATTGTATTGAATCCTGGTTGATTGCTACATCTAGCCATGGAATGACCAAAGCAACTCACAGCTGCCTGAAATGTATGTGAATTATATTTAGTCCTTTCCTTTTATTTCCTTTTTTATTGCAAATTCATGTTACATAAGAAACCTGTATGTTCTCTTGGCCTATGGAGGGACATCCTATGTCGTTATCTTTTTTCTCGGCTGTAAGAAATTGCCTTCCTGCTTTTACTAGAAGATTTATTTCCGAGGAGGTATTTTCCAATGTGCCTTGGCATCTAGCAGCTGCCAACCAACATAAGCCTGCATATTGCCATAATTCCTTCTGTTCACATTCAGTAGCTAAGGCACCTAAAAAAAATTAAGCAATTTTATTTAATATTTTTCTTTTCTTAGTAGTCAGAATTAAATTATTTTGTAGATTACATATAATTATACGAGCCTTTCAAAAGTCAAATTTTTCAATCCCATAAAATGAAAAGTAGAGCAAAAAAATAAATATATATAAATAATTACATACTCTAATATTAAAATAAAAAAAAAACTTAAAAACAAAATTGATCAGTCAGCCCTATTGAAACAATCATATCACAATGTTACATAATGAAATCATGTAATTAAAACATGTAAATCATGTAACAGATTGTTCCAAATCAGTATGTGATTTTAAAACAATATAATTTAAAAAATCACATGATATTAGAAATAATTTCATCCATCATGTGATTTTATAGTCATCGAATTTTAAAAAATTGAATGATAGAAATAGAAGAAAAAAGAACATAGCATCATGTGACTTTTCAAAATACATAATTTTAATTGATTGGGAACAATCCATTACGTGATTTACATGTTTTAGGCTGCGGTCCACTTGACGCTACAAACGCTTCGAAGCGTTTGAGCAACCAATCAGAACAAAGAATTTTACAAATTGACTAATCAAAAACGCTTCGAAGCGTTTGTAGCGTCAAATGGACCGCAGCCTTAATTACATAATTTCATCATGCATCTGTGTGACGTGATTTTTTTCAGTAGGGAGACTTCTAAGAGGTATGTTAATTTTTTATTTAATTATATATTAAATTACACACTTACTAAATTGATCGCATGCCTCTGCGACATTCGGCTTCCTCAGAAATCGTCTAAAAGATCAAAACATAAAACAGAAAACCATCATTGATAGAACTTTTAATTACAAAAAGTGTTTTAAGGACTTACTTTTTCAGTTTATTCGAAATATTATGAAACTTCGTCAAAAAGTCCACAGCCTCCCCAATTCCTTGACCTTGATTGACATGGGCCATTTTTTTAAACTAAAAATTATGTCAGCCGAAAGTACGTGCGTATCTGCACATTTGATGTTTTCATAGCGATTTGACAGGCGTGTCATGTCATGATGCACGTCGAAAAATTATTTACCGTTTATACGAACAAAAATCCATTTTTTGGAAGTTTATCACGACGATGACAAGGAAAATGACATGAACTTAATCGACGTAAACAAACGTAATAGAGTACAAAACACTGCATTATCGACAATACTTGTAATTAAATATTTAGTCACAAACGTACGAAGTAACTAGATGGGTTTTGAAGGGTGGCACCCAGTTGGACACGGCTCAATTGGACACGAGCCACTAACAGCGCTTGAGACTACAAAGCTCCTAAGCACCGGTCGATGTGATTGGTGGTGTCCAATCGAGCCGTGATCAATCGGGATCACCCCGTTTTGAACGTGACAATGGAATGATTGGAGAAGGAAAAAGTTAGTGAAAGCAAATTTAAAGATTCATAGTATAAATACTGTAAAATATTCGTATTATAATATATATTTTTATAATATTTCATGGTCTAAATATATTCTTACACCAGAGTATTCCATTTGGTGTTCACACAGGGAGGATCCCGTTTGCCTACAGTTCTGATTGCACACACCACTCATATCAGCTGGTGCCTAGTAATTTTTCACTGCTTTACCAATGAGAATATTTTATTTTTAAATTAGCCAATTAGCGACGCATGTGTGCAACATGCAGTGTGCAATCGGAGCTTTCCCGATGAGCCATAGTGGAAGTATGCCACCATGCCATGAACTTCGAGATTGGCTGCGTTCAGCAGACTCAACAGTTTTGCAATCGTTTTATGATTCTTCGCTCAGATTGGACTATTCCTTTAAAACTAAAAGTATAAACCAATCAGCGCGATGAATCATAAAACGGTTGCAAAATTCTTAAATATGATTGGTTTATACATTTAAGTCCGTTCTACAATAAGTTGCAAACACCCCGTTGCCAGTCGCAAAGGTTGGCAACTACTAGTTGCAAAGGGCTATTTTCGGCAATAGATAGTCGCGGTTGCCAATGGAGAGTTGCCCAATTTTTAACTCCTTGGCAACAGCAACTGTCTACTGTAACATCTTATAGCGTTTTCGGCCCGATCGGGTTTGCACCAACCTGGGTTGGATTAATCTTTCCTATTGGTTGATATCACACGCTCTACCAATAGGAGAGCGCAAAACGCCATTAATCCAACCCAGGTTGGTCCAAACCCGGTCGGGCCGAAAACGCTATTAGCCAATCAAATATTGCGTTCGAAAAGCGCGAAGAGTGAAATGAAAGTTGTTGTGATATATCGGTGGTGTTTGATTTATTTCATTTTCATTTCGAGAACATCTCGAATATCTATCACATAACCTGCTTGATATATTCTCTTCGATTTTTCGGCTGCAGCAAATAACGACGGACGTTCTACTTTCTGATTGGCTGTTACAAATCGCAACTTTCAACATCCAAAGGTTTGTTCGCGTCACATACTCCAACATGCTTCAACGTGTTCCTACCATAGCTCCTACTCACTCTAACGAGCGCGTTTGAGTGAGTAGGAGCTGCAGTTGGAGGAAATAGGAGTATGTTGGAGCATGCGAACAAACCTCAAATGTGGATTAGGTGTTGCGATAATTTACAACTTGTGTGCATTCGTTTATGCAGCGGTTAGCGCAAAAGTATTACTTTATCCTTGTTGTTTACCGAGTGTTGAACAAAGGTTATATAATATTCACTGCGCTAACCGCTGCATAAACGAATGCACGCCTAAAGCGGGGAGCACAGACTCTTGCATAACGCATAACACATGAAGCATAAGAAATTGAACCAACCAGAGTTCTCTATTACATAGAAGGGAAAGAAACGGAGAACTTCGATTGGTACATATTCTTATGCATTACGTGTTATGCGTTATGCAAGAGTCTGTGCTCCCCGCTTTAGGGCCATTCCACACAAACTTGCATAGCCGCATAAACATATGCATAAAGAAAATCATCCAATCGTAGTTTACGCTTGGCTTTATGACAGAAATGTGATTGGATAATTTTCTTTATGCATATGGTTATGTGGCTCTGCAAGTTTGTGTGGAATGGCCCTTATGACTGGCAACTTGTCACTCCACAACTGGCAACAGGGTGTTCGCAATTTATTGTAGAACGGCCTTTAGATCCAGTGAGGAACTAAGGGCAAGACCAATCATATTAAAGAATTTTACAACAGTTGCAAAGCTGCTTTCTCTGGCTTAGGTCCGTTTCCACCAACGCAGATCAACTTTAATCTCGGTTCAACTTAATCTTTGTCTTTTTCTAGTTCTAAAGATTAGAAAAAGACGAAGAGTAAGTTGAACCGAGATTAAAATTAATCTATATTGGTAGAAATGGGCATTAGTTTCCACCGAGGGTTTAAACCGGATCAGAATGTAAGAACCAACCAACTACAATCGAGTATTCTCCTGTTATAGTCGGACGACAGGGGAATGCTCGACTGTAGTTGGTTGGTTCTTACATACTGATCCGGTTTAAACCCTCGGTGGAAACTAATAGCGTTTTCGGCTCGATCGGGGTTGAACCAACCTTGGTTGGATTAATCTTTCCTATTGGTTGACGTCACCCGCTCTATTGCTGGATTCACACTGCATCCGATTTGCGTCGTACGACGCTCTGCAACCAATTAGAAAACAGGATTCCGATGATACAAAGCAAAATCCATCGGAATCCTGTTTTCTGATTGGTTGCAGAGCGTCGTACGACGCAAATCGGATGCAGTGTGAATCCAGCAATAGAGCTGGTGACGTCAACCAATAGGAAAGATTAATCCAACCAAGGTTGGTGCAAATCCGATCGAGCCGAAAACGCTATACGCCTCTGTTGAACGCTGCCATTGTCAAGTAGAACTGGAATACATTCTATGGCGGATTCCTTCATTTTGATTGATTTTGATTTTCCAGATTTCCACGTGTATATTTAGTCTTGTAAGTTGTTTGTACGTTTCATTGTGATCTGTGCTCCGATCCGATTTTAATCGTCTGTACAGCTGCCAGATATCGAATTTCTACGGTAAGACAAACGAGTTTCGTTTCTTTTAATGCGGCATTTTCTTTCTCCTTGTATTTTTCGAACATATCAAGTTTATATGCAATTTAGTTATGATAGTTATAGCATAACATGTGTCTTTTTTATTTCAACTCTTTTTGATAATTTATATGGGCTCACTCAAGGAAAATTGATAAATAAATAAAGTGAACGTACAATTTTTCGGAATCTTATAGCATAGGTTAAGTTTACATTTTAAAATATTATATCTATCTCACTTTAATAGCGTATTTCACTGGCAGAACCGGTGCGCACTCAGTGCACATTAAAGCTGTTGTACATTAACCTAATCTGACTGGAAAAGTGAGAGATCTCAGTTAATAAAATACCCAATGTATATTTTATCAAATATCACAATAAAATATATTAAGGATTTCATGGTTTAATTTATTTCTATATTTTTATTAAACATACATTTTTATGTCGATTTGTGTACAACAGCTTTAAAGTGCGCGCTGAGTGCGCACCAGCTCTGCCAGTGAAATACGCTATAAGTTTAAATTTTAAATTTCAAAAGTGTATACTTCAGCTACAGAAAACAGATCTTTTATAATAAACAGCTCTAATTAAAATTTTTCTGTCATATATAAATATTAATACAAAAACATTTAATAATGAAAATATTTTTATAAATTCTTTGAATTTTTTAAATTGTTAAATTTAGAAAATTTTGTTGAGTTTTTTAATAGATCTATTAAATATTGTAATTTTAATAGACTTGCGAAGAATAAAGGCCGCGACACAGACTTTTGCGTAATGCATAAGGCACAACGCATAGCGTAACGTGTGGCAACGCACAAGGTTGTACATAAGCTTGTACTATTTGGAATGTCTCAATCGGAAATAAGATAATATTATATAATTATACAATATCATTATATTATATAATTTTGTAAATAATGACAAATACGTCATATTCCTATCTGGGATGTCTAAAC